CCCCCCCCCCGCGCTGCCCCCCGGCGGGGGGGGGGGGTTCACTCTCTTTCTCCATCACCCTGAGCAGAGCTCGGCTCCCACCCCTCCATTTCTGAGCCGCCGAGCGGCAGCGGGCGGTGGGACCGCTCATCCGTGACACCCCCCCCCGACAAGCGCCCTCCCGAATTTAACGCCCAGCACACCGGGGTCTCCTCGCCGCGGTGGCCGGGTGGGCTTCAGCTGTTAGTGAGCCATAAACACAGCAGCGTCGCTTCGCTTGTTAGTGCTGCCCGGGAAAGCCCAGGGCGAAAGGAAAGGAACCTCGCTGTCCTGGGTGGTTTCAGTCCCACCTGCGGGACGTGTTGGAACGGGAAAGGGCTTTTCGTGATCCCCGCCGTGTCCCGCAGCCCGTCCGCGGCACGGCGCGGCGCGGCCGCCCCGACCCGGTCCTGCCGCAGCAGCAGTTGGCTGCCCCGCCAAGCAAAAGGGGGGGAAACCAAACCGAAGCCGAACCGAACCATCAACACACGGCTAGAAACTCTTTCTGTGAAGGACACGGGAGCTATCGATAAAGAACACAGGAAGGTTGGACTTCTCATTCCAAGACTGCACTTGTAATGAATAAACACTTACCGCAGGATAGTATGGGAACGTGTGTGCGAGTCTCTGTGTGCGTGTGCGTGTCGGTGTATATCTCTATAACATATATGAAAGGAAAAACCCATCAAAGGGAGGGTAATAGCTCTTAAATGATCTCTGTTGCTTCATGTTTTAATTTAAGAAGTTTGTTTTCAAATAACCAGTACCAATTTACACGTTAGTAAAAATGTATTTAAAATATGTATATATAAATATCTGTTTTAAAATAGTAAAAAAATTTGTTGTTGTGTGAGATGCTCCCTGCAGACTTGCCTGTCTCAGCTTGCAGCTATGGATTTAAAAAAAAGGAAAAAAGAAAAAAAAAAAAAAAGAAGGAAAGAGGGGGGAAAAAGTAAATCTGCAAATGAAATGTACGTACCTGGGAACTGATAGCTGTAACTTGGGGCAAATCCAGGATATCCTCGGCCATACGTTGCAACAAAATTCGGGTAACCTTGATCACAGAAACGTTAAAAAAAAAAAAAAAAGAGAGAGAGAGAAAGAGAAGTTTGAAGATTAATAAAGGTTTTTTGTTTTTAAATACAATGCAAAATTACATGGAGGATGGGTGAAACTTGATTTTACAGAAGGTATTAAAAACCAAGATTTATTCCGCTCATGCAAAACTGCAGAAGGGTTTCATTATTATCTTGAATAGAAACATCTAGAGCCGGCCGGCTTTCCTGCTCACTTCGCTGCCTGGCTTTGTGCATAAGACCTGTCACTCAGGTAATTAACATGCACTTTGGTATCTGAAGTCCAAGGACTGTGCATACTTGTTAGCTGGAAGAGTAAATGCCAAATGCTAAGGCTAAACACATAACACAGGTTTGCTCTGACATTTGGAGAGCTTACAATGAATGTACTTTGCTTCAGAGCTATTGACAGTTGGAGATTAAGGTAGTAGTAATTCTTTATCCCGGGAGTGTGAAGGACAACAGTTAACACATCAAAGAGTTAGAGGCAGCAACAGCAATGAGCCAGAGAGTCAAAGAGCTTTTAATTTTTCAGGAAAGTAAGACCCGGCTCTAAGAGCCACTTCCTAAAGCAATTTCTGAGATAGGCGCAGAAACGCATCCAACCTCAGGCAGCTTTTGAAATTTTATTATGAGAAAAATACCACTTGAGACCATTTTGTTAATAAAGGCGCTTAAGTAAATACATGAAGTGGCAACTCTGCCCGCTCTAACACAGCGGCCGGGAGCGCGAGGTGGTGTCGGCAAGAGGGCAGAGGGTGCAGGGGGTCCACCGGCGGGCGTTTGATGGACGGAGGGACCACCGCTCGGCGGTCAGCCCCGCGGGCGCTCGGCCACGGGTTTCACCGCATCACCCGGTCATGCCTCGCCAGCATCGCAGGCGGTCGGCTCTGACAACCGGGCCAGGGCAGAGGGGTTTCACTCTGCAGGCAGCAGCAGGTTTGCGTACGTGCTGGAGGTCATGCCGGTCCCTAAACGTGCGTGGGCTGGCAGAAGCTGAGGGGTCACGCACTGTGACACCCCCCCGTGTTTTAATTTTCCAGCCCTTATGCAAAACAGCTGTCCTCTCCGGTCCCACCGTGGCTGCCTGCTACGGCTGGTACGGCTGATGCCACGAGCCATCCTGTACACTAAGGAGATTTCCTAAAACCATAACCTCGCTTCCGATCCTCAGCATTTCCTTGCTCAGTTTTCTTAAAAACAGGAACTACCCTTTGCAATTCCAGTGCAATAACTGCTGTGTGACGTTCCTGCTGACTGTCAGCATCAGCCCAGACTCCTCCAGCCTCCAGGAGAGACCTCTCCAGACCAAGAAACCATCATGAAAAGTTTGCTCTCACTCCATCTGAAGTCAGTGGAAATCTTGGCAGTGATGACGGCAGCAGCTGGGCTGGACCCTGAGAACACGTTGTTTAGCAGCTGAATGGTTCTTCTGGGGGTCTCCTGTCTCTGCTTTTATTTATTCTTTAATGTACTCATACATCGTGCAGCTCTTTTTCTGCCGCAGCAAGTCCCTCCACTTCTGATTAGATTTATATATACATATAACGTACTATTAATCATAATCTACAACTGGAAGATAAAAATGCTTGGATGAATTTTGATTATGGGATTAAGCAGTGCCAGGGGAAAGCAGCCCTGCGATCCCTGGACAGCACGTTGCGGCTTTCAGCGATGTGTACATACTGCTTAGCCCTTGCGTGTTTATTTCACAGCTCAACAGCTGGATTCCTTTAGAAATTAATCACCTCTGTCATTAAATCAGATCTTTCAGAGTTAAGCTTTACAAACCTCTTTTCCTTTTTTTTTAGAACAACAATATTGATAAATGGATTGTTTGCTAAGTAAGTAGCGCCATTAACACCACTGCGAGCTCCACCATGAAAAATCGCTCTGCGGCGTCCGACCGCAGCCCCTCTCCTTGCCAAGTGGAAAAAATTAAGTTTCATTCTGATTCGAGCGACTCCGGAGCAGATCCGTCAGCTCGCAACTGCTGGGGCCACGGGGGACCGACGTGCCGGGCAGCGCCTGAGGTCTGCCCTGGGGAGCGGGGGCTGCAGGTGAGGTCCCCGGCCGAACCGGCATGGTGGTGGGTGGCAGCTGCCCGTGTGCCTGTGGTGTTTTTTGGAGCTGGCAGTGCGGTGCAGGATGCCATCTCTTCCGCTGGCCTGCCCTGGGATGCTCTGCGGGGCCGGGGATGCTCCTGCCCCAGTGCATTCGCCTCCAAGCCCAGGGCAGCGTGCGGCACCGCAGCAGCCCCGCTCTCCTTGGGCAAACCCGGAGCTGCCTGGGGGGGCTCTCGCCTGCATCACCAGTGCTCAACGCTCTCTAGGTCAGGCAGATGAAATCATAAATTTATAATACAGCATTACTTCAATTTTCCTCTTCATTTACTGCTGCAGTGCCCAGCTCTGCTCTAACGAGTCAAAGCCCGATCCACGCAGGGGAAATTGCCTGGCTGAATATCAATAGCGCATTAACACCATGCCCATGTGGATGCTTCATCAAGCCAAATTATGGCCATGCTGACCTACCCACCATTTCCATTAGATGCCATTCTCATCCTGCATTGGGCACCGAACAGTTTATTTGCTTCAGTAGTCTTGGGGAATGATCAATCTCTCTAATTATCCTTTGTTGCTAAACCAAAAATCCAAGTTTTGCTGGATTACCTCTTCCGAAGCGAGACCCTCCTGGCCACGGAAGCAGAACTCCAACCAACAACCAACACCGCTTTCACACCACCACCTCCATCCAGCTCCTGCCTCTGACATTGACAGCAGCAGGTCCGACGCACCCACCGTGCAGGCTGGGTGAACTCCCAGCCCACGTGCTGGAGCCTTGCAGAGCCCCGTCTCGCAGCTGGCCAGATCCTGCCCTGCACTGGGTGCTCTCCGGACAGTGCTGGCATGCCAGGTCAGAGCCACGGCTGCTGGAAGCACCACGCTGACCACCCAACAGTCACGTTCCAAGGGCTGTCGTGCTCTTGGTGGAGGCAACACCCAATGCAGCCGCGGAGTCCGTTACCGCCGCAGCGTGCGAGCAACCGCTCGGTGCGGAGACGGTCTCCCGGGGGAAAGCAAAGGCTCTGCTTCCAGGATGAAAACGACCGCCAACAGGTAACGCTGACCTTTCTACTTACAGCGTACCTGAGGGCATCACGGCATTCCTGGTGCTAAAGCCCATCCTGGTAGGCCCACGGTAAAGTCCGAGCTTTGCACGCATTCTACAAAAGGGGAGACTGGGCAAACTGCCCTACCTTCCATTCTGCACGGGGGATCTGCGGCCCTGGAGACCGAGCAGCTTGACACGGCACCCGCGTAAGGTCACTGGAAAGGCAGGAGACTCCAGCCAGACCCCTGACTCCCCTCCGTCCCACCAGCACCTCCAGATGGAGAAACGGCTTTTCTGCTCCGGGCGGGGAAGTGTCCACAACCACTGAACCCAGCAATGGAAATGTCTTTTCATTTTTATATTTGGTGATCTGAGATGGACAAAGCTCATGGTTAATACGTGGGAACACTGAGCTCACTGGGGCCTGGGGACCTCCGCAAAATAAATTTAAATGCTCCAGCAAATGCAAGAAAATTATTGTCTCCCAATGTTGCTCAGAGCAAGGAATGCCAGGTCCTTTCCAAGGAAAGGCATGGTCCTTCTCCCAAAGCATAGCCCCATGCTGCAATAAAAACGTTCAGGGTCCTTCTCAAAAGAAACATGCTGTGACCTTGACATAAGCACCTATAGCACGAAGGAATGCAAACCAAAAATCATCTCCTACAGACACAGGGGGTGGTCACGTCCTAGGAAGCAGCTACGGAGAAGAAACACGTCTGCTGTGGAAGTTTCTCCCTTGGTCCAACAAAGTTGACCTATCTCCTACTTCAAGGGAATTAAAGAGCTAAGCTAAAGCCGGCCGCAGCTGCGTTCATCAGCGATGGCTACAGCGGGTGCTGCTGCGGGAGCCCAGGGGGTTCCGGTAAGTCGTGCCAGCCTCCTGGGAAGCCTGTGCTAACGAAGGGCTCCCCTTCCTGAATCGTGCCTCAGAGGCAGCTGCTACTCTATTAAACAGAGTCTGATGGAAAAAAGGAATGACTTTCTTTGAAGGGCACAAGCTTCTTTTATGCATGAGTTCAGCCTACCTAGATTGAACGTGTGCAGTAATGCAGAGCCCCGCTCTGCCTTGTGCAGTGATATAAGCAGCCTGTTAGAGACCTTCTGAAATCTGGTGTTCACATCAGCCATCGTTTCGGCAGGCTGGGGGTGTAAGCTTTACGGGCCAAGCGCTCCCGTCTCTGGAGCAGTTTGCGAGTTAAAAAGAGCCCAACTTTAATATGAAACACCAGCAAGTCTAAGATGCCCACTGCCAGAAGAAACGAGTGCTGTGGGGCCCCGGCTCAGATCGAGCAGCGCAGCGGTCCCCTCCAGAGCCGGGTGTCACCGCTGGGATCACCGCAACAGCAGCCGCGACATCCCAGACGCACAGAGCTGCTTCAGATGGGAGGGCAGACAGAGACAACCTGCTATTAACATTGCTCCTCAGCTGCTTTCTTCTTTTCTCTTTTTTTTCGAGTTTTCAGGTACAGACCTGAATGGAAGGCAAAAAGCCGTGGGGCAACGCAGTGACACCCACACGCCCTTGGGCGATGGGGGTCCTGGTTTGCACGCCAGGACGAGGTGACAGAGGTGAGGCTTCTTCTGGGCACACGGCAAGCTTCTCGGCCACCGAACTGCTCCCACTCAGCTGCAGATGTGTGCGCTGCCTGCTGGGAGGACACAGTGCCCATTCACGGGCATCCACGGGGCTGCCAGGGAGAGAGAGATCACTGAAACCACTCCAGCCCGCTCTTTATGCAGAGTGGCTAATTAATGTTCCCCATCTCCCGCGAGACCGCGCGCGTCCCATCAGCAGATCGAGCCCGAGACAGCCCAGAAGCAGTCCTGGCAAAAGGCTCAGCCTGCCCGCGCTCTCGGAGTCAAAAAATCCTTTCAGAAGAACACTTTAATTTTGTTCCAATCAACCAAATCAGCACAGAAGCGGCTGCCTACGCACCTTTAGACCCCGGCTGCTGCAGGCTCCTTGGGGAGGCTGTGATTAATGAAAAAGACCAACTTCCTTAATAGCTTTGGAGGGAGTCGCTCCCCACTCTTTCCTTTGGGTTGTCTCGTGCGTTCGTTCCTCTGATTCCCTCCTCTGCCCAGGAACAGCATCTGGAGAAGGTGACCTTGAACAAGGGCTTCTGGAAACAGGTATAAAAATCCTTCCAGAGCAGCCCCAATCGCTCTGTTTCAGCTTCAGGAACGGGGTAGGGCAGACACCAGCCTCCTGGGATCTCAGCAAAACGCTCGGCTACTGCAGACGCTGCCTCCGGCGGTACGTTACTTTGTGCGCCTCATCGTTTGATGGGTTAATTATGCCCCTCTCCCTGCGGGGATGGGGTCCCACTGTGAGCGAGCAGCTGTGGGGGCTTGGGAAGGAGAGATTCGGGCTCCCCGCTGAGCCACTGCCCATCAGGCCCCTTGAAGCCAACTCTTACAGGCAGCCTTTGAAAACAGGGATTTATAATGGCCATCCGGACAGCCTTGCTCTCGTGTGTTGCCATTTCCTTGTTTAGCACTTAATTATTTAATACGGTGTCACTGTAGCAAGCAGGAACTTGGAAGATGAAAAAAACAGCTAGAGCAGATAATGAAGCATCTGGCCTTCAACACGAATCAATCATTAATTCTGAGCAAGTCACCCTGATTTGAAATCTAATGTGAGCACGTTGCGAGACCGGCCGGAGCAGAGCCGGTCGGAGTGACCTGACCCACCCCTCCACAGCGGGACGGGAATTTGCCAACAGGCACCCGCGGCACTTGCTCTGCGCAGAAGCAGATCTGCTCGCTGAGGGCTCCTTCCCTTAATTCTTGCGGCTTGAAACGATCTTTTTCCAGAGAGGCAGCCGCAGTGGGAATGACTCGCGCCACACCTGAGGGCTGAATTTTCCCTTCAGGTCACTGGGGTGGACCCCGGCTCCGTTCGCTTCTTGCCCGGCTGCGAAGGGAAGGGTCGAGGCAACTCTGCCCATGGTGAGCAGAAAAGTGAGACTGCCCGGGGTCTTTTTGCCTACCCAGGGTGACCTGAGCTTTCTCCTCCAGCAGCTGGGTGGGACTGGCCAGCAAGGCAGCACACACCACCTCCAGCACCCCAAACCTCGGGCACCATGAGCGGAAAAGTAGGAGAAACAACAGAAATAGAGTACATGTGTTCAAGCACATTGGGAACATACAGGTAACAAAATCACAGACCGACTAGAAGATAAATATTTTAACCGTAAAATGTAATTTCCAAACACTATGGGGCAGGGCGGCGGTGGAGTGTGGGGACAGAAAAATAGATGATCAACTGAAATAACCGAATTACACATCCCAGAAATGGATCGTTCCAGCCACACGAACAGAAGTACTATTAATTCAGAGATAAAGCAAACATGGCAGGGAAGTTTTCCCTATCAAATCAAGCGGTGCCTCAAGTCAGACATCTCAGCATAACAGCCTGATACTCATAGGAACCGAGTCCTCTGACCCGACGCCCAGTCCAGGAGCCTTGGGGTCCTCCAGCATCTCAGACAGCCTGTGGACCTGCTTGGCAGAGCTCAGGACAACCGAACACCAGCTTTCGAGGCTGGTTTTTGTGCTCAGTTTCTGGGATCTTCTAAACCTAGGACAGAAAATTCAGAGCATCCTGGAGGGGCCGCGTACCAGGGACGCTAGCCTGGGAAAGGCTCATTTCTGCCTGGGCACACCTCCAGATGCCCTCTTGTTCATGCATGCTTTATGGACACAGCAGGTGACAACCGAGGGAAAGTCCAGTGATACAAAGGGAGCAGAAAGTTGAAAATATATGGGGTTTTACAAAAATACGTTGGCAATGGGTTAGCAGCATTTTGGCTTAGTAAAACTGAGGACAGAGTATCGAGAGGTTGTCACGTTATATAGAAAGAACAACTATCTAGGCAGAAACAAATGAGAACCAATTATAACTAAATAGACTTCATGCACAAATAGAATTTTGCCATTAAATATCATTTATCCCATTTAATTAGTATTTTCTGGACACAATACTCTGGACTAAAATACCGTTCCATCTCCTTGAAACTTGTAATTATTGTTGCGACCTACACTCTTACGCATCTCCCTGCTTTCTCCATCTTGTATGCCATTTAAGAACCGGCAAGATTTTCAATTATCTATGCTGAACTGTCAAAGATACCTTTAAAAGAAGGGGAATAATGTGTGACTCAATTCCTCTAAAAAAGGGGAGAGATCATTTTTAGTCAGAATGAACACACTGCATCTTTCATCATTCTATTTTTGCGAGTAAAAGTAAAACAGGCTATTTAAAACATCCATTTAAATGCAAATTTTTATATTCCAGAAAGAGGGGGGGAGTTAATCATTTACCACAGACAGGATTATTTTCCCCACTCCACCCCTGCTAAAGTTTTAGACTCGCACCCACACAGGTGCAGGGATTTGCTCACCCCTACAGCTTAAGCATTCAGAAATCAGGGAGACAACACGGGAGCCGCTGGCTCCGGGGGACGTGTGGTGGCTACGGCACTTACCCAACATTCCCATCCCTAGCATAAAAGCGTCCATGGTATACGGTAATCCACGTGCCCTTCCTCTCGTCCCTGGTGGAAACATCACTTCTTTAGGTTGTGCTTTCTTACATTCTACCTATTGAGCAGAAACATGTACAAATGAGATGCAAATGAATTCCATGTAAATGTCAAATGCAGAACTGATCTACTTCAGGGGGGAGTTTTATTTTTAGCATTTGCCTCCCCACACCGCCTCCCCCTCAAAGGTGAACTTTAAGAATAGCGTAAACGTATTTAAAAGAGCAAATGTGTATGTCTCTTTAAACACACATAGCGAAACCCCACTGGAAAGATGACAGAAATGCTGATTTAAGAAGTTGCCATGTTCCTGAAAGGAAAACCTGTGCTGCGTTCCCTCTCAATGGTACTCGCGGGTGTGGAATGAATGGAGGGAGGTCTCCAGCACGGCTCTATTGCAATCGATAACAGAAAATGACTCTCAGTGATCATTACAAAAAGCTCCTTTTAATATAGGAATAAAGAATCAATATTTCTACCCAGCAGAAAATTTCTGTAAACCCTATTAATAAACGATCTGCATTCTTTCACTTCCAGTTACTCCTGCTGCCTTTTGAAGTTGCTTAATGCCACTTGAACCACATGGCGAGTCTCCACCGACGCCTTGTGAGAAGTGGTGAGCCAGCCCAGCCGGCAGCGGGACGCCCAGGACCCCAGGACCCCCAGCCACACCGCCGGGTGCTGGTTCCCAGCCTCTTTTTGCATAGGAAAAGGGAGAAATAAAGCACTTTTCCACATTTTCTAGCGCCGGCATTACCAACTTGCCACCCCCTCCCCAGCAGACTGCCCCTGCACTCCCCTCGGTGCTGGCCCTACAGCCGTGCCGGTAAGCTGGTTTGGGGCAAACCAGAGTTATCCCAACGCATTTCTGTGGCTCTACACCTTAGTCCACGCTCTGAGCAACAGGAAAATGTGCAGACCCGCAGCGCAGCCCTGCACGGGGAAGCCCCAAGCCGCCATCTGCCCCACCTGTACGGTTTGCAGGATGAGAATCGCTGGTCTAAGGGTAAGGGTCTCGGGCTGAATCCAGAATTTTGAGCTTTATGCCTCTAACTTTGTTCTTCAACCTTAATCCTCTTTGCACATTTATGCTCCCCCCAGCCCTCTCCCGGCCAGACCGGAGTGAGAGCAGGGGATGCCACAAGCTGGGGCCGTGCTCCCGGCAGACGTGGTGGCACGGCCACGGGCAGCCCCGCTGCCCTCGACCCTCCTGTCCCGGCCGTGGCACCCCCAGCCCGCCGGCAGGGGCTCGGGAACAGGGCTGCTGGTCGCGGAGGGTCGGATCCAAGCAGGGTCGCGTCTCCCGCATCGCCTCCGGCACTCGCGCAAGGGGGCAAAGGCGGGCGTGCGCCCCGCGTGAAAGCAGGCAGCCACCCCAGGCAAACCCGGGGATGTAGGATAATACGGGCTAAACATCTCGGTGCCTAATAGCCCGATCGGTGACTGTGTATTCATTGTCTTATGAAAACCAACCGCCTGTTCCTAGGCAACCCGATCAGCGAAAATTTCAGGTTTATACAATTTTCATTTAGGTAACATAAAGGTTAACTGACTGTAATGGGAGTATTTTAAACAAAACCACCTACTCCTCCCTTTCTGCCGCAAACCTCCGCAGACCGTATTTACTTTGCTTGCTTGCAACACTTCCCGAAGCTACAATGCTCAGACGCTGCCAACGCTGTCAAAACACACTCTTCTTGCAAACAAGCTGCCCCAAACCAGTGAAGTTGGGAGTGAAAAGTCTCCTGGAGTTCAACTTCTGCCACTTTTCTGCCAAGAAGCATTTGAGTCCTTGCAGGAGGCAGCGGGAGAAGGGCAGAGAGGGACTGGGGACAGCTGGAGCGGGGAGGCGTGCGTGCAGAGCCTGGACAGCCCTGCGCAAGGGAAATGGGGAAAACGGGCGAGCAGGAGCAAGAGCAAGAGCAGTGTTGGAGAGACCCGCTGTCCAGACATCCCAAAACTCGGGCGGTGCCGCAACGGGGCCAGCGATTCCCTCCGTCTCCTCTTCAGTGCTGTCGGGGCAGTGAGTCTGGGAGAGAAACATCCCACGGAGAGCTGCGGCGAGGATCGGTGTGTGTCCTCCAGCCGGGGCCACCGACCTCCGCGCACCCTGTCCCTTGCACACCCACGCACACCCCTGCACACCCACAGACTCCCGCAGGCATGTGTGCCACTGAGCGCGTGATGGAGAGCCCCCCACTGCCCCGCAGGGTTCCTGGGTCCTGATACTAAGGCAAAAAGAGAAAGAAAAGGAAACGGGAAACTTCCCATCACTGAATTTGTCAGGGAGGTGCTCGCACACTGAGGTGCCGCTGCCAGAGCAGGGCTGGGGACGAGGACAGCGCAGGATGCCTGTGCCCACTGCCCAGCCCCATCGCTGCCCCGCGGGGATGAAGCTTTCAGAGCTTCCCAAGGAGGCTTAAGCCTGAGCCTTGATGGTGGGTTTCAGCCTAATTCGGCTGTGTGCCCCCCCGAAACCTCGGTGCCCCCAGAAAGCCCCAAAGCCGGCAGCCTGCCGCTACCTCCCCTCTCCATCAACCGCCCAAGGGACACGGCGAGCTCAAAACACCGAGCGCCAGCACCAGCCTCCCTCCCCGCCGCCCCGCACAACAGCTCCGCAATATCCTCTGAAACTGTCCTTCGCTTATTTTTAATCAGAGGGGCATTTAACAGGAGTACGCCAATCTAATTTCTCCAGCCAAACGACCGGGGGTGAGCACCAGAAGTGTGTCATCTCATTTCGCAACCGCGTTTTTCGGGTTCGCCACCACTCCAAATGTCACGGTGGCATTGGTTACACCTCGCGGCCGCTGGTGCTGCGAACAGTCAGGATGATAAAAACAATCTAGCCTGGCTCGACGGACAATTAACAGGAAAATGAAGTTTGGATTAGCACCGTTAGAAACAATAACCCAGTAATTAGCTTCTGCAACCACAAAACAGCCTACCGCTGCTCTCTGAAAGACTAGCGTAATTTATGATTTTCACAGCACACGAGGATATAAAGGGAATGGCCGTGAGCTGCAAAGAAGTTTTAACTGGGATTTAAAGGGGAAGAAAAAGTCACCAGTAGGAAAGAAAAATAATTCCTAAGCCTTTGTAAACAAATATACCCCATATTGAGGACAAAAACATTCTCCGTTATCCAGCAGAGACTCTTTCCCCCTGGGAGGGATGCCATGAAAAATACAAGATGAGGAGCCCTGGCCCTGCTCCGCCATCCCTCGGGAAGGGGCTGTGCGACCCCGGCCCCGGCAGCACGCCTCGGGTAGGTTTTTACACTCCCCATTCACCAGCATCAGGCCTCGAGGTGCTCTTCAGGAGCTGCCCACGCACCCATCCTGTCGGCAAACGGGGAAAATGCAGCAACAGGAGGTGAAGCCCCATGGTAGTGGGCCAGCGGTGGGCTTGGCTGGTGCCTCGCCACCAGCAGAGGCAGCAAAAGTGGAAAAAAAGGGGCCAGGCTGCTTTTCTGCAAGAAGCCAGCCCACTCCTCCATGGGGAACGGGATGGAGATGGCCGTACCCAGCCTGCAGCCACGGTTACCGCGAGGGTAAAACCCTGGAGGCAGCAGGGACGTCACACGTGGGCCGGCAAAGCGGGACGCGCAATGGGGCTTCTCCAAGAGGGAATATATCTGGATTTACGAGTCAGTGCTCAGCTCTGTACCGAATCACCCCCAAGAGCCCGCCCGATGCGGGTACTTTGTACATAAATCTGGATCTTGCACAAACTTTCAGTTCAGTATTTCTGTGCATCTTAATAATTTCCAGATTTTTTCCACCTCCCCTGTATGAGGGATGTGCTTCACTTTCAGCAGCCTAACAAAGAAAGTTTTAACTCTAAGGCAAAAAAAAAAAAAAAAAAAGGCAGGGAAACTAAAATTCAGTATTTTTGTTTAGTCTAGTTTGGAGAATTAACATTACACTGGGGTACTCTTGGGTCAAGCTGAGCAGTCAAAGCCACTAGAACCCAGGACGGCTGAGATGGGGAGTGAAAAGCCTCTTATACCCAGCGCAACAAAACAGGCTGTCAGCTCTCAGCACCAGGATGTCTCAAAAAACCCGTGGCTAACAGCTTTCCAGGGAAACCAGGGCTATTTTGAGGAAAGCAGAATGCGCGCATATTCACAATGCACAAACCCCCATTTTACCACCCAAAGACAAGGCAACTTTGTCTTGCCAGCAACGTGCGATTCACAGTTAGTTGAGATTCAATTACCTTGGGGACGCCATGTCGTTCATGCCATGGCAAGCCAAAACTATCGCTCCTCTAACAGAGAAATCTGTATTCACCCCGTCCTGCTGCCAAGGCAGGGCTACACCGGGCAACAGAAGAAAGGCTATAGGCATATTTAAAAAATGCATTAGATCATTGACAAAGGTGGGCAATGGGATGGCGTGTCCTCAGACCCTAAGAGGAAAAGTTAGCAGATACGGGTGAGCAGAGGAGTCTGCCAGAGTTTCTTGCGATTCATCCATTCAGTTTGCCCCCCAAACACCTGCTGACACCCAGCGTTGGGCAACTCCTTCTTGTCCTGGAGAACCCAGCCACCCCTGGAGACCCTGGCAAGGGCAGCGTCACTGTACGACTCACGGGCAACGTCGTTTAAAGCACACTGGAGACAACGCTATAGGAATGCATCCAACCTGCAAGCAGTCTGCAGTGTCCTTCAGCTGACAGATGGGGTTTCCAACGCTACCGCACCTTCAGCCTCTTCCTAGCACCGGTGACACCTTGCGTACCTGCCTGCCCAGCACCATCCTGCACGGGGTCCTATCACCCTCACTGCAATGAACGCCCTGCAGAGAACCTGTCACCAGGACCATCGGCCTCTTCGCACGACAGTTCGCACCAGTGCCCAGACATGCTTTCCCACAACATCCCGCCACGTGTCAGGCTCCAGCTCTACAAGCTGGTAGTGATCCTACAGTAGGAAACAAGGAGCAGCAACGCTCTCCCGTGACCTGCTGACAACCAGACCTCCCATGGGCAGGCACGCTTTTAGCCTTGGTGCCCGCATGCCCCATTCATGATGACAGCTCGCTTTTGATAACTCCTACAAATGTGTCAAGTGAAGGGACAACCTCAACTCCAACGAGTTTCCCCGGGATTGCAGTAAGGTCCTTGAACTGGAGCTGCCACATTTAATTTGTGGCCACTGGAGGTTGTTTCTTAACTCTCTGGTTATTTGCTTTGAATGTAAAATGAGGGTTAATGACCCCATGGGGGGCTGGGAGGGGTGAGGGAATGGCAAGGTGTGATGAGCTTTGCAGACTGGGGACAAAAGCATCAGAACGTGCTTACAGCACTAAAACCATTTGCTCACAAGGGAGAAGGGTGATTTCTGGATCCAGATCAAGCACATGCCCACAAGCAAACCTCTCATGTCCTATAACTTTCCCCTTTGTCCCTTGACGTGCCTTCTGGGCAAGCCAATGCCACATCTCATCTTCAGCCCTCCAGCCACTCCCTGACCCAGATGCTTTGCACGCAGAGATGGCAGGGTCAGTTTGGTCAAGCCTCCCCAAAGACATCTGCTCCAGAACCAGCTACCTACAGCACCCCAAACGCCTGCAGCCCAGGGTCATGCCTGTAAACAGCCGAGCAGCACGACAGGCATCCCCCCAACACAGCCAGCAAACCCGTTGCCACCATCAGTAAGACACCAACTGGAGAGGCAGCAGGATCACGCATGAGGCCCAACACCACATCTAGGGCTTGACCTCTGCTTTCCATGACATCCAACTGGCAAAGGACCCAGTGGCTTCCCAAAATGTCTGTGCAAGGTTGGAGGTGGTTTGCTGGTTGCGCGTCGTGTTTCCTCTGCTCCCCGTTGCTGCATGGACCTCGGGCACCGGTGGTCTCGTGCTCCCTCCTGCCTTCTGCACGTGGTGCACAATTTAGTCCTTCCGGGGATGGAGGTGCCTTAGACTACAAGCTATTTGGATGAAAACCCAAAGGCACGTGGTGTGTGATACACACATCTAAAACGTCACCACGCAGCGAAGGCTGCCAGTCCAGGGAGAAGCCTGAAGAGTGCTGATACACTAAAAAACCCACAACAAAAAAACCACAAAACCCACAAAATCCCACCACGAGAGAGAGAAACAGCCACAGCGCTGTTACGTGCTATGCAGCGTCAAAGTCTATTTTAAAACAGCCTAACACTTTTGTCAGCTGCTCCAGAGTCTGACTTGAGATCCTGACTTCAGTGCAAAGCGCCCGGGCCAAGCTCAGCTCACCGCACCACTCGCCGGCACTTGTCCCACCGTACCTGTGATGTGAATGACTCTATCACAGTGGGATCTAAGGGAAAACAAATTACTCCATCACATTTCTTTTCCAGCTACTTCTGCACCCCCTTAGAAAACCAGGTTTCTCTTTGCAAAGCAGCCTGCTCATGTCAAAGGAACAGTATTCTGGGGTTTGGGTTTTATTTGATCCCCCCCGCAATGTTTGGAGACCATCTTTGGCCTCCCACGTAAATTCCAAGTTTCATTTATTAAATACCTCGCTGGCATTTTCTTTTCACTTTCCCACTGCTCGTTTAATATTACATTTGACATTCTAAGCTTTACGGATGGCAACAGAAGCAGAATGGGTGGGCTAAAAATAGCCTGCCAGGGAGACGGGAGGCTAGAAATAGGCTCGTGAACAACAGCAGCCCCGCTACCCTTTGCCTGCCCCCACGCTTTGGGAAATGACAACATTCGGGAGACGAGAAAGAGCGAGCTCAGGGTGAGCCGTGGATGCCCCAGCTGAGCAGCCCGGGGATGGGGATGGGGATGGGGACAGGGATGGGATATCCCTGTCCCAGCTCACGGAGCAGCTGCAAACCCCATCATCTCAAGCTGGGGCTGCAAGAACCCGTCCCCTTCGCAGCTCAGCGCTAGAGGGGGAGATCTTAAAAACGAAGCAGGAGCGGTCAGTCTCTGAGGGTGCTGCGGAAAGTACGTCCGCACCTAACCCTGACCCCCAGCCGGCTGCGTGTCACCTCCAGCCATCTGCACCAGCTCACTGTCACACACACGTGCACAAGCTCTCCTGCCTCTGCATGGGTTTGGTAATTAATCTGCAGACGCATCAGCAATACGATGAGTCAGTCCCAAGACAGGATCATGTCTCATCTCCTCCCTCGTAGTCTGTTTTTAAAATTAGTGCTGTAGAAGGAGTGAAAAGAAGAGAATGCTCAAAGCATCGTGGCACCCGGATCATGCCCCAAGCAGGCACAGAGAGCCGGGAGGAATATCTTTTAATTATCCGCAACAACAAAACACCAACAGCCTACACTGTTTCTTTTGCTCTTTGTGATGTTCCTGGAGTGTTTTCGCCCTGTCCCATCCTCCACGTTCCCTGCACTGCTGTTACCTTCCTGCGCAGCCTTTCATCTGGGAAGAAATCCTCCCAACAGCTCTCCCACCGCTCCTCCCCTAGCAGGGGTCTGCCAACACCTGGGTAAGATTTTTACAGCGCACGAGTGCAGATCCCACTATGAAGCATCAAACAAAGTGCTCTGCCCTGCTGCTGGCACTGGTTTTGCTGGGATGCACCGGCACCCCGCTGCTCCTTCCAGCCTACATCCAGCACCTCACCAGAGTAATACTGGTCAGTGCTGAGCTGCTCCAGAGAAAAACCTCTTGTGTGAAATAACTAAACCTACGGAGTATGACATGACACGCACCCACCCGGATGAAGCGGTAGGAAAATCCTGGAGTGTGGCACTGTAGCTCTTCCCTCCCAACTGACAATCTTACCTAAATTTACGTTCCAAGTGTTTCTAATTTGTTGCTGGGTCTGTCGTTTGGCTGCTGGAGTGGGGGTGGTTGGGGTTCGTTCTTTTTGTTTTGTTTTAGTGCAGATTAATCAGCATTTAGTAACTATATACAGGGGAACGAGTGCCCCCCCCCAACCCACATGTATTTCAGGCGAGGTATCGCTGGTGGCAGGCAGGAGACCCCAGAAGCAGGAGGCGGCTGGGGAAGCGGCGAGATGCTCGGACAGGGCAGAGGCAAAGCCTGCAGCACCGTCTGAGATGGAACGAGAGGCTTCCCGCAGGGCAAGGGGAACTGCCCCAGCCCTGCCCTGCCCTGCCATCCCGCCACTCAGTTTGCCAAGGGGACCCTTACTTTTATTTCAGATGCATATTGCAGTGAGGAACAATATGAGGAATATTATTTCAGTGCCCTGGGAAAAATTAGCAAGTCAAATATTGAATCAGGCCTCCAGCATATGCCAAGGAGATTGCTTTGATCTTATCCACACTAAAAGCTCTATTATTGAATTTAAAGTCTGTGAACACGTATCAGACCAATATACAATGCATATCTGAATACACATTTGAGAAGCAAAGGATGTTTTGACACAGGGAAAAAGAATATTTTAGTTGAAAATATCTAAGTTACTGCATCAATTGAAATACAAATGCCCATTTTCATCTGGCTCAGTGGCTTTACTGACAGGGCAACCTGCAACCTGAGACTTGACTGTCATTTAGGAAAAACTTCACCCAGGTCTGGCTCCTGGGTAGGGCCTGGGTGGAAAGCGATTGCGGCTCGATGGCAGAGAGCCATGACTTCCCGGGGGACATGGTCCAGCGGGCAGCAGCAACGTCAGAGCAGTTATCAGGACTCGGGAGCTCGACCAGAACGGTTATTTTGGGAGCACAGTCTGTAATGGCTATTCCAGTCCACTTCCCTCCTGAAAAGCCCCAACGCAGCCGTTCAGTGGCTGCCACGGCTCTTCCCAAGAGCCGGCGGGGAGGAGGAGGGCTTCTCCAAGGCTGGTCGAGAAGCTGAGCAGGTCGATGCACACCATCGTCAGCCCTTTGCCTTCCCACACCAAAACCTGCTCTGGGGCGGCTGCAACAACGGCGGCCTGCAGACAACGCCTGTGCTCCAGGGGGGGACAGACACCCGTCCTGCTGGAAAGGGGACAGGAGCAGGGTCCAAGCAAGCCGTGCTCCTGTTCCCACGACGCCTGCGCCAGGTACGCTGTGCCCAGCACCCAATTAACCTCACCGCGAAGGTTGTCCCAAAGGGCCACCACCCAGGCACCGCACACGTCTGCGACAAAGGGCGAGAGCTCGCTGCCACCGACACGCGCTGCGGAACAGAAACGACTTACCATTTTATTATTGATTTCGTGGAAATGAATTTCACAGACTTTTTCCACCACGTCTTCATTTTCAAAAGTTACGAAGCCAAATCCTATTTAATAAAGAAACAGGGGAGGGGGAAAGGAAAACATTAGTGAAGTTAAACAATTTCATTTTAATAAAGCATCACTTAGCCACGGGGACTTTGGAAAACTATCATAAAAATATGCACATGTAAATACACCTGCTGCCTTTGGAGCTCTTGCTGAACTTATTACAGACTAATGGAGGGAAGAAGCGTTGTCTCGGGGAAAATTAATATGGTTCTGTTCCAGCTCTTCCATAGGATTTAATGGAGAATTAAAACCTCCTTATGGATTTTTTGATCCATCCTGCAGAATTTAATGGATAGTTACACCCCAGTTACATGATGGCTCAGAAACTACAATAAGGCCGTATTTTCTTTTACACCTTATAGGTTTTTAAGAGCAATCTCTACAAAACCCAATTATATTTCTATGGAACCATATTGATTTTATCTCTTGTTTAATTCCACGGGACTTCTCCATTAGAGCTGACTCATTACACGACCCCAAAAAAAAAAAAAAATCCGGGAAGACAGAAGATGATTCCTCATTCACCCCCGGCGAGGCAAAAAATACCAATGCCTCCCCAAACATGCAGCAGCACTCTGCGCTTCCATTCACTTTGAGCAAACAGCAAACATCCCCGCTGCTGCGTGCCGGGGCCGGCGGCGCAGCCACCGCAGCTCCGTCCCACGCGGATGCAGCCGGCCCCGCGGGTCAGCCGGGCTCCGGAGGTGGTTATTTGTCCCTTTCTTCCTGAATTACTTCCTCTAATACCTCATCAGGACATCCTGAGGCCTCCCAGAAACCATTACTTTTAAGGCCTCTGATCTAATCATTCCTCTCTTCTCTGCTGCTGCTTCAAAGGAGCCGTGGATTTGGGCTGGTTTAGGGTCGTTTGATGCCTGCTGCCTGCCTGTAGCTGTACACTGTATTTGCTCTGCTGGGGCCACGCTAAAGAAATCTGGCAGCCCACCACAGCTATACACAGTCATGTTCCCTGCTCCTTCCTTAAAAAAAATAAAAATCAAGCTAACAAACAAAAAACAATCTAATGTGCTACATTTCTGGCAAAGGCTTGATGAGTCAACATCAACTCCAATTAAGCTAATGAAATCTTAAAAAATTAACAACAGGGTGAACGTCCATCTCCCAAACTGCACTGAACGCTGCTGGACTCGGCGCTGGTGGAACAGCACGTGACGTCTTCGTCGCCCCGGGCTCCGAGCCAAACCAGCCGGAGCCGGGGCATCCCCAGCAGCAGCCTTCGCCCCTGGCTGGGGCGGCGGGGGAAAGAAGAGGGAGAGGAAACCAACGCTGCCCGGTGTTATTTTCCATGAATAGTTTTGCCCAGTGAGCATCCTTCTGCTCAGCCATGCGCGGCATTGAAGCAGTTTTGTCTTTGCTGACTCCGGGACCCAGCTCCCGTCTGCCACCGGCCGCGTGTCCGTCCGTCCCAGCCCCCCGGCTGTTTGGGAATACAGCGGTGAAGCCTCATCTCCAGCCCGCTTTGCTACCGACACTTCCCATCTGCAATCAGCAGCCTCCAGAGCCGGAGTGCCGTGGTGGTGTCACCCCGACCTGCTCCCCCTGCCCGACCCAGCGCTCCCAGCAAGTGCCCGGCAGTTTCTGTGCTGGGATCCCAAACCAATACTTCATTGTTTCAAACGCACGCTAGATCTGCTTTGATGGGGCGCAGCGGAAAATATTAAAACTATACCGGGGTTTCGGCAACCTACAGGTACAAGATACGTTTTGCAGGCTACAGTACTTGAAGCTGTAAAGTGCATTTCGAGGCGAGGTCTGAGCAGCTCCCAGACAGGTTGTTCGGGAATGCACAGTACATGTAGCAATGGGGAATGCTCCCATCCCTCTTTGGAGCCTCTTATCGGGGGACAAACCACCAGAAAGGGTTTCTAGGTCTCCTCCAAGGCATAACACATCATCCGACAGCACATCAGACTCAAGCCCCGCGCTCAGAACACTATTTTACTTTGCACTGAAAGCATGTAGCAGCTTGAAGTATTTTACTTAACTCAAGTCTTTCATTTGCCTTCTAAATTACTCCATTTAAATCTACCTTAAACAGACCTGTAGTTAGAACTAAAATTTTTGTGGTTAACTGGCTGAATACGGCATCCCAGGAATCCCGGAGCATGCTGCGTTGGGCAATTACCGGAGCTGGGAGCAGCGCGCCGCTGGGGACTAGCTCTGCCCAGCGCAATGAGACGGCCAGTCCGGGTCTACAAGTCATTAATTGTTTGAGCACCAGCAACATCTTCATCATTAGTAACTCATTAGTGAGTACTGCAGTTGAGGATTTCTCTTTCAACTTTTGTCAGGTCTCACTGCCAGGATGGAGGAGAGAGAGGGAATTTAGAGGAGATTAGCCTTAATATGCATAGCACCGCGAGAAAGCCCACTGCAGTCATTACACATTTGGACTTGGAAACAAGTTTCCCATTCTCGTCCCACTCCATATGGCTTAAACACAGGTTTATCAAGAAATTATTTGTCTGATTAAATCAGATAGCCACCCAGCTTTCTGCATTTACAGATTTTATAACAAGAATAAAATAACAATCCATAGGTGTCAACACTCATTTGCAGGTTTTAGAAGATCTACGCCACTTAGCACAGGCCGGTCGAGCTGGCTTGGCAAGAAAAAACAGACGTGATTGGGTCTGTAAGAAAACCCAACACCATCTTTTATTCCCTCCTCTCTGGAGCTGGCAGATGGGCAGGGGGCTCGCAGGTTCAGGCCCAGAGCCCACGCAGGGCGCTCGGTCCGTAGCTGAAGGCTCACAATGTTTTACCTTTACCGTTACCGACATCTTTAGCTGATTGGGAAGCAGCCAGAGGATTTTAATCTGGACACATACAGGCACTTAAAATCCATAGGATGCTATTGAAGAGAAGCTGTCGCTCCTTAACGGAACAATCCCCAGGAGATCGTCTGCTCCAGAATTAAAAACTCCACAAAAGTGATGGGTAATGGGTCCTTTTTTTTGTTACACTTTTTGAATATCAGATTCCAACTTTTAATAGTTGCACACACACACAAAAATATTACAGCATGCATGCCTTATTAGTTAGCATAATGAATACATGCTCATTTTTAAATTACCAAAACTCTCAGAAACCTTCCTGGACTAAATAGACAATTATTTCTTCTGAGAGATACTAAGAGTCAACAAAAAAATGGTTCTCGGAAAGTGTATGAAAAAGATTAACACAAAACAAAGAAGGCTGTTTAAAATGGTGACATAAATAGGATTCCGGTTGTCAAGGAGCACACATTTTAAAATGAAATTATACCGCATCCTTCTGAATGAAGCTATTATTGGAAGCTAACAAGCTCTATTTAAGAGATAAGCATTTAACAGAGTCAAACGGTTGGGTTTTTTATTCAAATGAATAAAACTGAATATTCATTTGAATAATCTTTTCTGTAAAAGAAAAGACAAAGAAGAGGGAAAAAATAAAGTAAGAGGCAAACAGATGCCCCCAAACGAGAGGCTCCGAGCCAAGCGTGATCACTAAAGGAAGCCGAGACATGTATTCACGACCTTCAGGTGAAAAAACCCTCCTTTAGCATCTGCTCGGAGAAAGGAGTCATTTCACTCTATTCATCTGCTGGTTAATGGGCACTGACAGGCACCGAAACGATGCGCGAGGATCTCCCAGAGCCCCGGCGGCTGGGAGCGAGCCTGCGCCGGGAAGGGAGAGGGTTTGCTCTGCTCGGGGAAAGGGCAGGCGTCCGCACGCGTGCGGAGCTCCGGCTAATTACCAGGAACGGCCTGGGCAAAGGAAGGAGACGGAGGAATCTGCTTCGGCTAATCAGAGGCTAAAATGTTTGGGGGTCAATTACCAGGGGATGCAGATGCCTTCAGTTGAAGTAAAACCAGTGGAAGGTACTCGGTGCCGCCATGGACCAGGTCTCTTTCGGGATCGCTGGCTGACAGAACGGTGCTTTTTTAACAGTGACTCACAAGAGGGGATTTTTTCACTAGGAACCAGATGCAAGCGTATTATTCACAGGGGAGGGAAAATCTGGCGCAATACCTTTCTTAGCGCGAGACAAGATAGTCTCAAGTACCCATATAACCCGAAGTTCCCCTGGAAACCTTTCCGATGAGCCTGCAGATGCCAGCCCAGACGCTTGACGTCCGACGGCACAGGACGCATCCTCCGACACACCTTCATTACACCGAAAAGCCTCCTTCGATCCAGAGCCTGGTTCAGCCGAGAAAGCTGCCCAGGCCTGTGGGTGGACGGCTCCGTGCAGCAAAGCAGAGCTCAGCTGCAGCACTTTCTGCCATGGTATTCCAGAAATAAGAGAAACACTGTTCAGAGAAAGTGGCTGAAACCATTAAAAGATAAAAATAATTTTAAAAAGATCGGTAGAAGCCATAAATAATATTAAGAAGCCCTATGGAAGATACCAAACGTCAGTGCTCCTGTGTTCTGCGTTTTGTTTTTTTCACACTCAAACCAACTATATTTCACACCTTTGTCGTCACTTGAGAGGTTTTATGTCAACCTCGGTAAAATATAGCGAGCTGACGACACCATTGCTATGAAATATATCTACTTTCTCTTGCTGGTTGGCAGCAACTTTTCCACAGCCTGAGTTTTATCTGCGTGCACAGTGATATATATTGCAGCTGCGTTTGCACACACAGAGGACGTCACCCGTCAGTAGAACTACACGAAAGCAGCTTACCGGGTTAAAGGTCTCGCTCTTTCAAGCCTCTGCACGCTTTAAAACAAGGCGATTGCATCCCGCGCCAGAAAGGTTAAACCTAGACGAACGCTGGGCTTAGCCCCTGAAGGGCTCCCACGGGCAAACCGGGACCCCCCGCCGCAGCAGGGTCCCCCGCAGCCAAGGCAGCGCCAGGGCTGCCAGCACCTCCATCGCCAGCTCGCAGCCCGGCACCCGAGCCAAAACCGCCTTCGCCGGAGGCGCGGGCACCGCTGCTCCGCTAAGAGGCTCTTTGGCCACCAGGAGAGATGCTCTGGTGGG